CAGGGCAAGGGCAGCTCAGGGCAGGGCAAGGCGATACATGGCAGGGAGAGGGGCGTGTGGGAGGGCAGGGGGGCCCGTGGCACATGGCAGAAGTGACAGGGCATGGGGACCCATGGCATACTGATGGGGCACATGGGCAAGGTGAGCCGTGGCACGCCAAGGTGGCACCCAGCAGGGCACAGTCACCCGTGGCATGCCAGGGCGGCACATGGCAGGGCACAGTGACCCGTGGCAGGCCAAGGTGGCACCCAGCAGGGTATGGTGACCCATGGGACACCAAGATGGCACCTAGCAGGGTATGGTGACCCATGGCACGCCAGGGTGGCACATGGCAGGACACAGTGACCCATGGCAGCACCCAGCAGGACACGGTGACCCATGGCAGACCAAGGTGGCACACAGCAGGACACAGTGACCTGTGGCAGGACACGGTGGCACCCAGCAGGGCATGGTGACCCATGGCAGGACACAGTGACCCATGGCATGCCAGGGTGGCACATGGCAGGGCATGGTGATCTGTGGCACACCAAGGTGGCACCCGGCAGGACATAGTGGCCCATGACAGACCAAGGTGGCACCCAGCAGGGCCCGGTGACCGTGGCAGACCAAGGTGGCGCATGGCAGGACACAGTGACCCATGGCACACCAGGGTGGCACACGGCAGGACATGGTGACCCGTGGCACACCAAGGTGGCACACGGCAGGCCACGGTGACCCGTGGCAGACCAAGGTGGCACACGGCAGGGCCTGGTGACCCACAGCACACCAAGGTGGCACACGGCAGGACACGGTGACCCATGGCAGCCCACGCAGCACCCGGCAGGACCCCAGCGCTGCAGCCGGCTGGGTCCCTGCTCTCGCCGAGCCCCTTGGCACCGCGGAGCTGCCGTGCGCCCGGCGGGGTGCGCAGCGGTGCTGGGGGCTGGCGCTGCAGACCCCCGAGGGGGGCTGTGCCCGCAGCAGCCCCTTCCCAGAGGGCCGAGGCAGCGGGGGGACACGGGGCCCCCCGGGGGGACACAGGGCCCCCTTCACCACCCCCGCTGCAGGCTGGGACTCACTGGGGACACTCGGGGTACGAGGCCAACGCTTCTCCTGCTGCAGCTTTTGGGGTGGCGGCCCCCCCTTCCCCACACCGGGGTGCTATGGGACCAGGGGACACCCACCGCCTGGATGGGATCGAGGGGCTCCTCTGCTCATCAGGTGTGACGCAGGGCAGGGCTCCGGGCTGTGGGTCACACACACCTGGGGGCTTTAATTGCCCCTCAAGGGCTGCTGCTAGTTAAGAAGGGTGGGGGGGGGGGCTTGGGTGGGGTCCCCTCTGCCTCTATAAGCTGCTGGGGCAGTGGGTGCTCTGGTGTGTTTGGAGGCTGGTTTTGGGCTGATAATTGAGTGTCTGAGGGTGAGGGTTTTTTTCTAATACTGCATCACTTCTGGGGATGAGGCGTTAGGGAGCGCAAGGGGTGACCTGACCCGGTGGTCCCTGGGCCTCTGGCTGCAGCTGGCGTGGGGCTGGGGGGCTCTGCAGCCTGGGGGGGCCCTGCAGAGTGGCACTGTGTGCTCCCCCAGGCTGAGGGATCCCGGAGCCATGTCCCTTACAGACAGCATTGACATCGACAGCAAATCTGAGAAGCCCGTGTCCCTGATCTGGGGTAAGGCACGGGGTCCCCCCTGCCCAGCAGCATCCCTGGGAGGCTGGAGGCTGCACTGGGCTGCTCCCCCTCCCTGTTCCCCCCCTCTTCCCCCCCCAGCCTGGAGCAGCCCCGCTCTGACACCCTCCCGTCCGCAGGGTGCGAGCTGAGCAGCGAGCGGGACTCCTACACCTTCCAGGTGCCGGAGGAGTGGCAGTGCGAGCAGCAGCTGGCTCTGCGGACGGTAGGGTGGTCCTAGTCTCCCCCAAACCCTTGGGGGTCCCGGGCGAGGGGTGCCTAGATGCTACGGGTGTCATGGGGCGATGCACTTCTCGCTCCCTAAAGATCTGCCTGGGGGAGATGGCGCGGGATGAGTTCCACGTGGTGGAGATCGTGCCAGCCGAGGAGGGCGATGCTCGCGCCCCAGTGCCCCTGGCCACGCTGAAGCCCTCCGTGCTACCCATGGTGAGTGCCCAGGGCCCCGGGGGGGGGGGCCGCCCCCCACTGGGTGCTGCCACCCTCCTCTCTCCCAGGCCACCCTGGTGGGAGTGGAGCTGACACCTCCGGTCACCTTCCACCTGAGAGCCGGCTCCGGCCCCATCTACATCAGCGGGCAGCACGTCTCCAGTAAGTCCTGGGGTACCACTGCCCCCTGACCCCTCCCTGGGAGCGGGGGCTCAGCCGGCCTCTCCCGCAGTGATGCCCAACCTGTCGTGGGATGAGGAGGAAGAAGAGGAAGAGGAGGATGCCGAGGAAGAGGAGCCAGCAGAGGAGGTCTCAGAGAAGCCCCCCAAGGGCCAAGCTACCAAGAAGGGCAGCGCTGCCAAGGTGAGCACCCCCTTGGCTGGGGATGTGGTGTGGGGGGGGTGGGGGGGGGGTCCCTGTGCCACGGCGGGGGCCCAGCCTCCTCTGCTGGGAGCTTTCCCATGCCCTGATCCCAGGGATGGGCTGCTCCCTGCTCCCACCCAGCCCCAAAGCCCCCTGTGTAATGGGGGTGAGCCGTGATCTTCATCCGTAGCAAGTCCTCATCCCGCCTGCGCGTGCCTGGCCCTGCCGTCTACATCTTCCTCTCTCTCCCCCCTAGAAGAGGAGGCTGGAGAAGGAGGATGAGCTGTGAGTATGATGGAGGGAAACGTATCCACCAGCCCTGCCATGGAGCAGGGGATCTCCCACGCTGTCGGGACCCCGCACCCCTAATCCCAGCCCGCCCCTTCTCTCCCAAGCAGGAACAATGTCTCCCCTGAGGATCCCCTTCCCAGCAAGGTAGGAGCCGGCCGGGGTGTCCCTCTATCTCCTGCTTACCTGTGGCAGCCAGGCATGTGGGTTAATGCTCATAGATCAGGACTGGGAGCTCTTGGGGAGGGAAAGGGGCTGATGTGTGATGCTAATCAGCTGATGGACTCAAAAAAGGGGGAGAAATACAGGGCCAGGCTGGGGGCTCCCTGGGCTGGGGGCTCTCCGTGCTCAGCCATGGCCCCGTCCCCACAGGGGCGAGGAGCCGGCCGGGGTAAGAAGGCAGCGGCGAAGAAGTAGCAGGAGCCGTGGTGGAGCCCAGCCAGGTACGGGGCAGCGGGATGGGGTAGCTGGGTGTGAGGGTCCCAATGGGGCTGGGAGGGGGCCTGTGCCTGCCCCCCATCTCCTGGCTGAGTGGGGCTGGGGAGGACCTGGCCCCAAAGCAGGGTCAGCCCAGGATGCCTGTGC